CCAACAGCCCCTTTTCTCGCTATTGTTATCCACGGGCACCCAACAGCGCTCTCGTCCCTCTGAGCGCTCTCGCCTCTCTGCTATCCCCGCTTCCCTGGCCTCTCTGTACACCTCGCCAGCGGCCCCCACTTATATACGCCGCCCACGCGATGCTTGCCGCCCGCCGCGCCACTTTTCACCGCCACCGCCACTGACCCAAATCCGCCTCGCGCCGCACGGACCCAATCTGGCCGCAATCGCACGCGGCCTGCAAGTCCTGCGCCCTTCACCCCCCCCTACCCCTACCCCCCCGCCCCCGCCCCCGCCGTCACCGTCCCGGCCACCGCCTGCGCAATTACCTCGGCGGCGACTCACTTCTTTCGCGCCCTCCACCCCCTCCCGCGGCTCTCACACGCGCACTCCCCGCTCGCCCGTTCCTCGCAATTGCCTTGCGCAGCGCCCCGGCCGCGCCCTTCCCAAGGCGTGCGAGCATTTCCTCAACAGCTTCTTCCCCCGGTTACTGCGGGCCGCTTCACTTCGGACAGATGTAGCGAATCGCACGTCGGGAAGACATGGTGGACGAACACACTGAGTGGTATGTGTGTTGTGCTTATGAATTGTTGTTAAGGGCTCCTTTAATTCGTTGAGGCCCAAGAGTGAGTACGTGATGGCAATAATAAGGGGAGAGATGACGTCAAACCAACGAGAAAACATGTCGAGAGTGCGCTTGGTCTTCCACAAAGTCCTCATGGGTTGGTCAGGGATCGAACACAAGCTCCAGAGGTGGACGTTAACGCACACGTTTACGAGCGGTTGCGTTTACGAGCGGTTAAAAGAGTTGCCAAGGATAAGTAAACCAATTCGTGTGGTATCGAATACTCTGAACAAAATGATAGAACTCAAATGCACCCTTTACTGTACTTCTATTTGCGGGTGCTTCCAAAACGATTTTGTCCTGTTTTCCCGGGTAAATAATAATAATTACATCCTTTTCACTATCCGTCAACTTTTCCTACAAAATGCTGTTTAATAGCAATTTAATTGCCGAGAATACTTACAAGTTATTATATAATAATCTCAATAAGTAATGACAAAGATGATGTATGTTTAACCTTCACAAGTGCAATTGAAAGTAACCGCTCGTTGAAGCAAAGATGTACGTCACCATTTAATGACAAGCGACAATCACTCTTTGGTGCAGAAGAAAAAGCGAAACATCTAAATATTGTTGTTTTTAATAAAGATTTTTTTTCTGATCAAGGCCATTTATTTCGCAATTTCCATTTATTTTCACTTAAATATCAGCTGTCTTGTAAATCATTTTTTCTAACAATAATAGACAACAATTTTATTCAATTTACTAAATACCGTCGAAATTAGATATGTAATTTTCTTGTAAAACGACGAAATACGTACAAAGTCTTCTTCAAACGTGTTGCTGCCGAACGCATTGGCTGAAGCGCTACATTTCAAGAAGAAGCTTTAATGAAGAGATTTGATCGTTGCATTTCACAAAGAAGAGATTATATTAGCTAATAGTAATTTTTTAATATGAGCAAATCTTTCTTTATTAGAAATAGTCTGTAGTCTTGCAATCAAACCGTACATGTGAAGCTACAAAATCTCAGTGAACGGAAATCCATCAACACGCTGTGATTGGCTGTTCACAATGCCTTTAATTAAACTGATGGTCATACAGAAAGGACCTGAACACGATTTTCATTCCACCAGTATTGAAAATAATGGTCTATAACTTCCACTTTGTGTCAATACCACGATAATCTTACTGATAACTTTCGAAGTTCCCTTCTCAAACGCGTCGTGTGAGCCCAGAATGTTTGTTGGGTGCGTTTGGAAATGCGTAATGTTACATCTGCTGCTTGAATAATGGCTCGAACCCCGTCCCCGTCCCCTCGGCGTGCAGTCGTGTTCTCTCCCCTCCGAGCACCGTGCATCCGCCCACGCTCTCGGGCGCCCGCGTCGCCCCGCCGCCCTCGCGACCTCTCCCGGGCCCGCGGGGACCCTTGTCGCCGCTGGTGTTCTAATTGATGCGGCGGCGGCGGCGCTGGTGGTGGTGGCTGTGGGAATGGGAGTTTGCCTCGACTCGTCTGCGGCCCAACTCTCCCATTCAGCCCCGTCCCATCGCATTACGCCAACATTCGTGCTGCCCTATCCTGTTCTTGCTATTCCGTCCCATCTTTCTGTATATCGTCTCGCCTCGACCCATTTGATCCTCGTTCAATGCTACCCCAACCACTCCGCTCACCCTATTCCGAATCCGCCTCGCTCCACTCTGACCCTTCTCACCCCACCCCATCCCCAATTGTTTAATCCCATCCTTCCCAATTCCTATCCCATCCCACTCCACTCCATCCCACACCATCCGAATCCACCCCTCCCATCCCATCCTATCCCATCCTATCCCACCACACCCCATCCCACTCCATCCCAATCCACCCCTCCCATTCCATCCTATCCCACCACACCTCTCTCATATTACCCCATCTCATTCCCAACCTCATCCCGAACCCATCGCCATTCCATTCCGCCCCATTTCGTTCCAACCTGACTCCCTCCAACCCATTCCACTCCGCCCCGACCTGCCCAGCCCCATCTCCGCGCGTCCAACCCTGTCCCGCGCGGCTCAAGCCGTCTCGTCCCCCTCACCCCAATCTGCTCTGTTCACTCGGCCTTCCACCCCTTCTCATCCCACCCCCCTCCCCTCTCCCACCGGCTGAGCCTCACCCCTCTCGACTCCCCCTCTCGGTTCGGCCGTGGCTCGCCCCACCCGTGGCGCGACCGCGCGGCCAATTAACGCGATTTCGGCCGGTTTCGTAGGCAATTGTCGACACGGTAATTAAGGCCCATCGCTCACGGTGACAACAAGGGCCGCTGGGGGCAGCGGAGGGCGGCGTGCTTCTTCAATGCTGCCGAAGGGGCTGTTGTCGGGGTCATCTATCTCGCCGCCCCCGCGATCAATGCAGTGCCGACGGACGGCAAAAGATTGCGAGGCACTGTGCCGGACTGTATAAAAAAGAAGAGGGATAAATGAACTTCGGCTACAAAAGAGGAAACGTAAATTTTGTGATAGGAGAGGAAATTCTTTCAGCCGAACTTCACTGTTCTATAGATGATGTATAGAATACATGCGGCAGCAAATGACATTGAACTGGGAGAGGGGGCTCAGTGCATCAACTAATGTCACCGCAGTGACTCTGGCCGTGAGGTCCTGGTTTCAAGTCCCAACAGTGGCAACATTTGTAACACTAGCTTGTCGCGTAGGTCTCATTAAATTACTGTCTGGAGGCCGGGTACTCTGGTCGGTAGTTCTCCGATCAACACCTCGCGAATGCCGGAGCAGTACCTTAACAAACGGGCCACGGACCTCGTGCGATTTTTTTCTTCCTCTTCCTTCTATCTTCCCTTACTCACACACACACTCACACACTAGCAATCACTTGACTACCATCCATGCCGGGAGACCGGACGGGAGCTTAGAGGTTGTTCCAGCTGGGGCGGCGCCCCGCTGGTGGGAGATACCTGGTTGGGAACAACCCCGCAAACCGACGGTTGGTCTGCGCCGGATCTCGCCAACCATCGGGTAAAGATATCAGCCACCCCACGAAGTTAAAACATGCACTACACTTACAGGACTTATGACCTCGTTAGATGGCGCGCCCGGAATCACTAACAACCAACTAACCAACGAACCAAATAACATGGAGATAATTGACCTCTTCTAGGAAAATGCAACAATGTCACATCTGAAAATTTGGCTCTTAATGGGCAAGAAGAAATGAAATATAGAGAGACCTTTGTGCTGATGAAATTACAAATCTCTACTTCTTCACTGTTTTTAAAGTGGTTGAATCGATGTTATACTCTTTCGTTATTACGTGGAGTCGTAAAACACGTCTCTTAGAACACGTGTTAGAATTATGCCTCACTTGCACAAAATCAGCGATAAAATCAAATGCTAGGAAATATCGTTTAAAAAAATTATGAATTATTGGAAACTGAACTAATGGATTAGTTTTGAAGCAAATTCAATTATACGGTTTCAGGAAATGTTAACTACTTAGTTGTTGCGCAAATTTTATTAATGAACTGACATTCATTTGTAAAAAAAAAATTACGTAAGATGTAATAGTACGTAACTGGAATACTGCACTAATATGTAAATGTAGTGATATTTGAAACACTACACGTAAATAAAGTTATTCATCAGAATAAATACGCACGCACACCCCATTGCCATTGTATAGTGTGTGTCTACAAGTTTCCAACTTCCCTCACATCATATAATGTAGAGCTGAACCCTCTCCCCCAAAGACAAACAATGGAAACAGATAGACAGTTTGACACATTTCATTTGGTTCACCATTGAACGCGTTCCAAATAAAACGATGTATTACAACGATGATTGAAATTTCAGCCGTCTACCTGAATGGGCAAATGTAACGCGAGCGAGTTGACAGTTCTGTCGCGTGGAACTCATTTTCGGGCTGGAATTGAGCAGAGCATTACCGTAACTCAATCGCCTCAGCGGACCGCACAGACAATGCAGTGCCGCGAGTAGCTGTGAACATCAGCCTATGACAACTGAGGTGGGTCCAAAAGGTATGTTACCCTAGTATGTTACCCTATTTTGCCCCGTCAAGATGGGGCAACTGAAAATTCTGTTGCAGTGGAAGTACTTCCACACTAATGAAGGGATTGCATTGAATTTTCGCTAATTGGTAGTGTGTTAGCATTAGGGATATTGAACTATCCCATACGTGTCACTCATGTTGTGAAGCTCCAAGCATTATTAATGACAGGAATAAAATAAAATATTGGGAACACTTTGTAGGATTTAAAAACAATAGGAAAAATGTGTCGTCGTGGATTGATCTATTTTATGGCGATGTAAGGTTCCCACTCTGTAATTAGAATTACTTACTGCAGAAAATGCCTGCAGCGAAGTAAGCATGAACAAAATGAACCGAAACTTTTTCAATCAACATTGTGGGAAGTTATTGAAATAAAAAAAGCTTCCGCATTACCAATTTTCAGACCCTTACACTCTACAACTGTTGCTACTAGTGACACTGATCGAGAGGTCCTTGGTTTCAAGTTCGGCTGGCGACGGTGTGTCGACACAAGTGCGTCAGCGGATAGGCCAGATTCAGCTACTGTATGACGAAGCGATCAGTTGCTCTGATAGGTAGTGTTTGGTGCTTTTTTTCCATCAAAATCAAGAGTACCATGAACCGCACGTGATCCTTCCTTACTTATTCTTGTCTATTTCTCTCCTTTTACAAACACGCTCATACATGCACTTAACTGCGCCGAAAGCTTTGAGCTTGTTACGGCGGGGGGGGGACCTGCTGACGAAGATACCTGGAGGGAGAAGCAGCGCACATCGACGTGTATGTCGGCTCCGAATCTTACGTCCCAGCGGTGGAGACACCGTGGCTTTTCTAGGGATATATTATACAGGATGCCCAGGGAGGAAACGTCGAAACTTCAAATATAAGCTGCTAAGACAATTTTAAACATATTTTGTCTAATAAACGACGTAGATATTCCGAATGTCTGAGCCGCAACAAGCACTTAAAAGTAGGTTTGAAAAAATTATTTATAGGCAAAAAGTTGTATTATAAAAAAATAGAAACCCCCCACAAACGTAAATTATTATTTTCATAAAAAATTAACGTATTTGTTAAGAAAGAAAAATTAAGCGAGAAATAAAAAACCAGTCGAATTGTGTAATTTAGGTGCTTTTTTTATTTCTGGGTTAATATTTCTTTCTGAACAAATATGTTCATTTATTTTGTAAATGATAAACAAACTACTTGATTCTATAGTGTTTCTATTCTTCTGTAATTCACATTTTTGCCGAGAAATATTTTTTTTCAAACTGTGCTGATTGCGGTTTATCCATTAGAAATATATACGTGGTTTATTAGACAAAATATGCTTAAAATTGTTTTAAGGTTTTTTTTGATGTTTCGACTTTTCCTCCCCAGACACCTGTACACTAAAATTACGGAGCCAACGACCATAGTAGTTGACTCTCCCGGAAACAGGAAATTAACAAATCTCCCTGTCGGCCCCTGTGGCTGAGTGCGCGTGCAGTGCGAGAGGGCGCACCTTTGTCGTCGAAGCCGTGCGTGATCTCGTGGCCGATGACGACGCCGATGCCTCCGTAGTTGAGGGATTTCGGGAAGTGCTGGCTGTAGAACAGCGGCTGCAGGATGCCGGCCGGAAACACTGAGAAAAAGAAACAATCAGTAAACCTAGAGGGTCATGTCAATATAAAAGGAAACTATTTTTTTACCTTTAGAAATTAGTGAAAACGTTATTCTAAGGGCTCACATATTATTTCGTTTCCGTCAATGTTCTTTGAATTATTTCACCTACATTCATTTTTTCCTACTGATGGCAAATAATTTTAATGAATTAGTTTTAATAAATTAGAAGTATCTATTTGTTCATTTGTGCTAAAATCGATGCCACGTCAATGGATTGTCACATACCTTTTTCGTAAGTATCAAACTATCTTCCTGTTACTCGTAATTGTCTTGTGCAATATACATTATTTAAAATTTTAAACTTTCCCTGAAATCTCAATACGATTTGATACACGTTTAATACGCACTTGATAGGCAATAAACTAATTACTTTTCATATTTAAAAATATCATTTCAAAGACTGGGTCACTTACAATTATATAATTGATTAAAATTATTTACCAAATAATTAACTAAAATGATTGATCGAGGGTTTAGGGTGGCACGGTTCTTTTGGTTCACTGATTCGGTTCACTATAGGGGAATCGACTCACTGAACTGAATCCTTGTTTATTATTCGCGTGTTGAAATGTTCATTACGTTACCGCAATAAATATAATTTCTATTTCACAATCACATGCTACTTAAATTTTCATTACTACTCAAAGCCAATATTTTATTACTAAAAAAGCAACTTATCTTCTTAACACATTTTTATACGCTCTAGAATCCGCAGTAATTTAATAGAAAAAATTAACTCACATATTCGTTTAAGTTCAATTTTATTTAAAATGTATCACGAAGAAAAAATTTTTCGTAATAGCAAAATGTATAGCTATATATAGCATTGATTCATAGTCAAATTGTGTATATATTTATAATTTGACTTAAGAATATTAATCAATGCCAGTAAAATTATTCTCTAGTGATTGAAGTGTCTGCGCAACTATAATCTTGTGAATCACGAGAAATAGCGAACAGAATCAGTGAACCAAAAGAACTGTGCCACCCGAAACTCCGGATCAACCAATAATTTTTGCGGTGAAAGATAAGAATTATGTTACATAAGTATCATGTTATATAGAATAATATAAATGTAATTCAACTCGTACATCTTGTTAGTCATACTTTAATCACATTACGAGTTCTACAGAATTCTATTGCTGACTTTAAAAGTTTTCATTACATTGATGAGCATCAGATGGATAACATATCGAAACCCTTTATCAAATACCAATTGTGAAGTGCTAGTAGTATGTTTGGGGAAGCACTCACCGATGTCATTCTTATTGGGATTGTAGAATGCGTTGACTACTGCAGGCTCTGTTGACCACTTGTCCTTGTTGACAGGTTGCCTCAACTTCTGTAGATTGTGGTAGGCATCGTATCGTAGGACGTTGAGTATGTTTAGTAGGAACTGATCTTCTGTGATGTTCAGCTGCAAAATATGTAAAACAGATTGTTAGAGTTCTGTAGAACATTCAGTGATTAGTGGTTTCTTGCTTCTTAAGGATATAATAAATAAAACGATTTGTATCTATATATTAATGTAATTGTTCGATAAGTTGACGTTTTAATTTAATTAAGAGATTTGGGTAAAATCTATTTTAGCAGTTCTTAAATTACGAGTAATATTAGTAGTTACGTTATTATAAGGGCAAAATTATACAATACTAGAATTACAGAAAATACGTGAATGTCATTGTGAAATTCATGGTATTGTGAATTATGCCAGTTTTCTTTACATACGCGAATATGAGCTACTAGCCGCGATACGCTCGTCGCAGAGTCGAGTCCGAGTCCGAGTCCGAGTCCGAGTCCGAGTCCGAGTCCGAGTCCGAGTCCGAGTCCGAGTCCGGGTCCGGGTCCGGGTCCGGGTCCGGGTCCGGGTCCGGGTCCGGGTCCGGGTCCGGGTCCGGGTCCGAGTCCGAGTCCGAGTCCGACGCTCACCATGACGTACTCCTTGCTGAGCTCGGCGGGGTCGGTGAGCAGCTCCGGGTAGCCGATGCGTTCGTTCATGGCGTCCGCCTTCTCCTTGGCCACGGCGCGTGTCTCGTCGTCCATCCAGTGGTTCTCGCTCAGCAGCTCGTTGAAGGCCTCACGGATGGTGCGGATCATCTCCAGCGCCGTCTCCTGCCGGCACAGCCACGCACGCGCTCCACAGGCAGCCCCCGGCTTCGCACTCGCACTCGCGCTCAACTTTTCCTAAGCCCTTTACCTACCTCGGCTTCCGGGGGTATAACGGTTCACGTTACGGGATGTTATACCCAAGTTTGCGAGTACGAACCAGACCGGAGATTTTTAAGGGCGGACAAATCCGTCGTGCGCTTTCCTTCTGAGAGGAAAAAAGGCGACCGTCCCTGAAGATTTACTGCATGTATACCTCAAGCCTAATAAAAGCCATATGCTATATTAAAATCGCCCATTTGCCGCCCGAGTAATACTTTCTTTTTCGGCTAGATGATGAAAGGAGCGTAGCGTAAAGTACGTGGTCAGATGAAAAAGCGCGTCTGATGGCACGAGTCTTGTCACGTACAAAAATTGTGCGTGATCTGGGCTGTCCGGGTGACGCCGCGTCGAAGGCTGTGTTGCCGACGTTTCGACCAACCTGTCGTGATCTTCCTCAGAGCTGAGCCTTCGACCCGGCGTCACCCGGACAGCCCATATCACTCACGTGACTCTGGCCGAGAAAGCCTACGATTTCACGTACAAAAATTAACAAACCAACTAAATACGTCCTCAATGAGAATGAATCTCGAAGTTCCGCGTGGTCTGCTTAGAATCACATTGAACTATTTTAATTTTTGTCACCTCCGTGTGTGAATAGAAACATTTTCATATCTTTTAGAGTTCTGCCGGCGTTAAAGACTGCGGCTTAAACGTTTGTGGAAACAGAACACGAAATCGCCTATCACGAGCATCTTCCTACCTCGCTGTCTTAACATACACAATTTCGACGATTCTGCCATGCTCACCAGTGTTGGAAGTTTTCTCTGGACTGGTGCGGGAACAACTATATATGATACTTGCGAATGCAAACTTAAATGTTTACTCCATCCGAAACACCTGATGAACGAAACCGGATGGAGTTGGGATACGCTTTCTCAGATAACGGAACATGAAAGGGCATTAGCTTGGAACGCAGGGTGAGGAATAACTGAACGCGAGATGCAGTTGGGCGAGTTCCTTCGCGAGAAGAGACGCGAGAGGCGTGTCTTGCTCGTGTGGGATGAGGAAGTGGTGATAGAAAGATTTAGGTAGTTGTTGAAATGTTTGTTACCAAAGTTCACATCTCCAATATTAGCGAATGTTAAAGTTCACAATTATTTTCCAGAATATGCTTTTATCTTTCTTAAATGCGAAGAACATGCCTCGAAGTCACTGTTCGTTAACGTAATCGAAGCAGGGAGATTTCTTCGTTTAGGCCACTTCTGTAGAGTTCCAGAAACCGGCGCGCGCCAAACAGAAAATGCAGAAGTAGCCTCTTCAAAAGAAGATATTCAATTGTGAGTCATTCACAATACTTCATATTTAAGAGATTTTAATATTTGAGATATACTGGATGCCGTTTTGGAAGTAGAAACCTTTCCAGTGCGTTACGCACAATGAGATTAACAAAAGTATCACCTCATTTGGCTGACAAAAGATTCCTTCAGCACAGCAACTTGTCGATTCTCTTGTTCCATAAGATTTAGCTTAGAGTGAATCGAATTTTGTACTGATATTACCTCAAAAAACTACCGAAGATGAAATTTATTTTTTCGGATACAAACAGTTAATTTTACGAGTTGATGGATCCAAGGGGCAAATAATGACAATACCATGAGAGCCATCCGGAGCCGATATGAAGAGAGATATTTTGACAAAGTGTAACAAAACGCAATGCAAAATGTAGAAGAGAAAAAGATTTCCCAATTGAGGGGAGAAAAGCAAATAAAACATGATGAGCAAAGCTATTGATATTGTCCAGTTCGTCATTCAACGTTCAGTTCCTTGACGAATATCGAAAATTTTCCACCACGTGAAGTAGTAAATGATGCATTAAATTGATATTAATATATCAAACAATTGTTTTATGCAATATAAGCAAGTCACATTGTCGTAATTATAATTTGATACGTGAAAACGTTCAAAATTCATATACGTTACGGACGTCGCAATTTCTTCAACACCTAAGTACATTCGCCCCCTTTTCCCAAATTCTTCGCATCTTTTCGCGTTTCTCGTCGACGCCAGAAGCAAAACGAAGTAGAGTAAATGAGGGCGGCGAAATCATTACCGAACTCTGAGTTTAATCTCCGGAAACAATCTCGAATCTGGGGTGACGTCTCGCGCACGTCCCGACGTCGCCGCCGCCGCCGACAGCGCCCTCGATGGCTTCCAGACGCTCAGCCGACTGCAGCTTATTTTTCCTTGCGATAGGCTCGCACATGTGCCGAATCCTCTCGGCGCCACCGTCGGCGTTTGCCGCTTGGGGCGAGACATCAAGTTGCAGATGACACTGCCATCCATATGTCTCATCCGTCATTAAACTTCATAGCGAATGAAATCCAAACACATCTTCAAACTTTAGAAAGGTGGTTCTCCAAATGGAAGATAAAAATTAATCCCACCAAGGCAGCCGTCAGAACATTCAAACCTTTCTCTACTCACATCTAATTAAAAATAAATAATAGTATAATTCCATGGACTCCAATCAATAAGGCAGTAAAATACTTAGGACTGCGTCTGGACACCACCCTCAACTGGGAAACTCACATAGACGACAAAGTTCAGCGAGCCAAAATCTATATTCAACTGAAACCGCTCATAACAAAACTGCTAAACTGTCTTTAAATATGTAATAATCATACATAAATCCATCATCAAACCCCTCTTCCTATGAGCCTGCCCAATATGGACAAATGCTGCCAAAGATAACATTAAAAAATTGCAAGTCATCCAAAACAAATTCTTAAGATCAATCGCCCAAGCTCCCTGATTCATCTCCAGCAAGCAACTACACACCGAATTAAACATCAAACCAATCAAACATATTGCCTATCTTGCCAATAACTTTTACTCGGACCTGCACTTAATCAACGATAGCAGAAATGTGTAAATATCAGAACGTCAAACTCGAATAAAAAACAGATATGTTACACGCATTCTTGGACATTTTCAGCAATATAGAATAAATCAATTGAGGTGCTCTGTAAGTCCCCTCGTCAGATATAGGATAGTGTTGGTAGTAAAATAGATTAAGTTAGATTGTAAACCAGAATTGCAAATGTAAAGTTGACATTAACTGAACATTGTAATTTCAACCAGAACATAATAAAACTAAAAAAAGGGCGAGACATTCTTCCCTCGAGATGGGGAATATTATGGAATGATGATATTATTAATAAACTAGAAACTACTAATATAGCTATTTACATACCTAGAAATGTTATGAGTGTTATTACTGCAGAGGCCAAAAGTTAAAAATCCAGGCTGAGTGTAGCAGTGTATCTATTTAAACTACATTCGTATAACGTGATTTGAGAAAAGATGGATGCAAATAATTCTCCTGAACGTAAAGAACGTTAAAGAAATAACGTTCGATGAGAATGTTGGCGCGTCGACTTTCAATGGCGACACCTTCAAATTGTCAGTAAATATGATTACCGGAGGAGATCTTCATTTGGTGGAATGCAAGGAAAATGTGGTTAATTTACACAAAACACAGATTTTAATTGTACTAATAATATTGTAATTAACAATAATTATCCCTAAAACTTGTGACCTACTCTCATTGCGAACTGTTTGAATCTGATTAGTATAAAACATCGCTAGTTTTTTAATAAACGTTTTAATTGCCATGAATCATGATTTACGTAGCTAAGGATGTTAAATTTCTTAACATACTGGTAGGTAGGACTTCAACTTGGAAATGAGAAAATATAAACAAATATTTTTCTGGTATTGTACTTTTCTCTAATTTTTAATTTTTTTCAATCAGATAAAAGTATTAAGGAGACAAAACCAATTACAATTTAAAATATACATTTTTGGGGTGTGGGTGGTGGGGTGGGGTTAAGAAACCTTACAAAATATTATTCTTATGTTAGAGTTATAGTGTAACCACTCATACGTTATTTAAGTGAGCTTTTTGTCATTGTAGCTGGTGGTACCCTTTGCATGAAGAATTGGTTTTACGAATTCGCCAAATGTGAAATTTAGAATATTCGAGAACATCTTTGGGAACATCAAACTTTGTTTCGGATCCACGCGCAGATTCAGGATTTACAAGTTGATCAATGTTCTTGAATTGACGGCGCCCAATCTCTTTGATTAGCTACGTTTTAATCCCGCCATCCACGGGTAATCTGCTCCAATCGCGTACAACCTTTTTGGATTCAGATGCGAAAAATCCGTCGGCCGTCTATTAAAGGCGCTCGCCTCGCAGCCAGCTCCCCGTTGGTCGGCGTGTCGCCCCCCCCCTCGCAGCCGCCATCGGCGCAGGCTGCTGCTGCTGCTGCTGCTGCGCTTTGAAGGATCCGACGGGTGCCGCGAGAGGGGTGAAGGTGGTGGGAGCAGAGACAGAGGTGGGACGGAGGCAGAGGGTGGCAAGGAGTCGGGGTCCGGGGCGAATGTGGGGCGAGGCGCAGGCGGATGTAGACGTAAAGGTGTCGGTGGCGGAGCCGGGATGGGAGCGGGGGTGGTGGCGGAGGTGGAGGCGGAGGTGGAGGCGGAGGTGGAGGCGGAGGTGGAGGGCGCCACAGCCACGCCACGCCCATTACCCGCTAATTAGAATCGGCATCCGTTGGCACGCACCGACTCGATTGTGTATTGGTCTCACGTGGGAGCGGCGGGAATAATTACCGAAACATGAACAAAGCGATTGAAAGGTCGTCAATCGTTCAAGTTTCACCAGCATTCCTCCTCCACCAAAAATTACATACACAGTTTTAGAATTGAAGATCTTTTCTTAATACCTGTAACCAATTGCATAGGGTAGTTAAAAAGATAATAAACTAGCCTGCTCCAATATCGTGACTTTTAAATAATTGCGCCAAAATTTGATTTTGAAGCGTTTCATTAGATTATTATTGTAAGATTCATTTCTAACCTTGTGCTTATTCTCTCCTTACATATTCGTAGACGAAAAGAA